CAGTAAGGTTTTTATATCACCGCATCGGTATTTATATGACATTCGTGATTATTGCAATATATGGATATTCTACAGTGATTTGATATTGTCATTTGGTATGTTATGATGCTAACCTGATTTTCATTCTGTCTGGAAAGCGTCGGACCTAAGAACGAGTAGAACATCGTTTAAAATGTTGGTCTCTATAGCGAACCCCTGTTAATCCAGACAGCATAGTTAAATCCTCCGATTCTGGCACGGGTTAGAATAAGTTCCCCAGCACAGTTTGTCGGTTTTCTTCGTTTTCATACAAAATCAGTAGCAAAGTAAGAGCGGTATACAAAGATTTACACGTTCTGTCGAGTTATGTTCAGTTAGATGTTAAGTTGTCGTGCCTCATAATATTGGCGATACGTTATCGATGTTAGAAAACCAATGTATTTTTTTCACGAACGTTTGCCTCTTGACTGCCCTTGATCATAAATACCAAAGCGTGATAATTGTGAATACTAGAATACGGCGGACTTATCAATACTATGCATGCATATTGGAGAAACATGGGCGCAATGGGACTTGCATAATCAGGTTAATACATTCAGGGCGGATAGTGTATACATATCAATACTATATAATAACAAAATATAGACTCGGCTTGTCGTCAGTGTCTGGACGAAAGAACGGATATGTAATAACATTGGGTGGTATGTTTTTATGTGATGAGCTTCTGATATTTGTTTGTGGTCAGATACATTGATATTAAAACATGACGTATTCTTGTTTCCTTGTTTGTTTGTTTGACGTATCTGAGTTGTGCAAATCTGGGAAAATGAGGTTGGTATTAGATATCATATAATTATTATTATTAGTGCTGTGCATTTTTCTTAGTATTTCAAATGTACAGGCATAATAAAATTTGAGTTAGCAGATAGTCAATGTCGTGTCTGAAGGATTTAGATAAAACTTGCGGGGACTGCTGATACTCCAACCTCGTTTCCCCGTTTAGCGAGTGAATATGGTTTTACGCCGCTTATATCAACATTCCAGCAATACCACGGCGGGAGACACCAGAATCGTGCCTCATGAAGTGTACTCATGTGCATGGGGAAAAGAACCCGGGCCTTGGGTGTGACGAGCGAACACTTTAACCACTATGCTACCCCACTGTCTTTACTCGCTCTTTAGAACGTCAGCGGGAGTATATGTATAACTATATATAGGAACTAGTAACTAGGCGTTAAGTAGGTGTATATACCAGGAAGGAGTATATAGACAGTTATCGGCTCTCTGCTCAAATGTCTACCCTCGGTGTCACGTGTGGCTGCATGAAATGAGTATGTTTTATGTCACAGTCAGACATTGTTCAGCTTTTTCACTGTAGCATGTTACTAATCTGAGTCTGGAGCAGGCAAACTAGTGAGTAACGATGACGAACCACCAGAAAGGTCACACATTGTGACCACCCAATCCTCATGTTACCGGCACTTCCAAGCACGGGTAGCGCGGACCTATTCTTCACGTGTTCTCACGGCTGAAATAGCACGCGTTTAACAGATACATGATTAATGCAGCACGAAATGGTGATTGGTAATTGGGACACTTGTGACAGGAAGAATGTTAGTTATGTATACAATGCAATGTCCGACGTGTTTACCGCTGGTGATTGACAGCGTAGATTGGCGTATAAGGAGAAGTCTCATATATACTAGGCGTCCTTTTCTATTACCACTGTGTGGCTCCAGGTTCGAATTGGTCATATAGTTGGCATGTTGCCAAATTCTGCAAATCTTCTTTTTGATGATGATGATTTATTGTTATTGTTATTAAACACAGGTGCAGGGGTGAAGTCCAATTTCAAACAATCTCATTAAAATCAGATCTTTGTACTCGCTACCGCGGTAGCGAGAACTAAGATCTGATTTTAATGAGATTGAATTTCAAAAGGTAGTAAAATGTAAATCTTCAAAGAAAAAGAGGATCCTATGAATAAGGATATAATTGGTTGGTTGGTTTATTGTTTAACGCCGCACTCAGCAATATTCCAGCTATATGACGGCGGTCTTTTAATAATCGAGTCTGGACCAGACAATCCAGTGATTAATATCATGAGCATCGATCCACGCAAATGGGATCGATGACATGCATCAACCAAGTCAGCGAGCCTGACCAGCCGATCCCGTTAGTCGCCTTTTACGACAACCATAGTCGCCTTTTACGGCAAGCATGAGTTGCTGAAGACCTATTCTACCCCGGATCTTCCAGAATATGATCACGGAAAAGATTGTCTGTGACCGACTCGTCCAGATTTAGACAATAATATTTGTCATTGATCACCCTATACGATAGTGGACGAACATATATAACGATACAACTCTGTGAAAATATGCTGAGATGCGATGACCAATAACGCAGGAAATCTCCTCTAGGTGTAAAGAAGGTTGTGTGTATTGTGAAATCAACTATAAGTGCAGCCCACAAATCTGAAACGAGGCTTAGTTGCTTCACTTCCGTCTCGCCCTACGCCATTTTGTCACTTCCAGATTCCAGTAGTTGCTGAGGTATATTTTCTTTGTTCGTTCTCAATACCTGCAGCAAATCCGTGTCTCATATCCATATAAGAGATTTGACTGTACGAAATAGCGTGTGCATGTTATATTTTTGGCGTTCGTAAAACCGTAGTCTTCGTGGAATAAGCATTTTTCACACATTGCGTGTAAAACCGAGAGGAGAGTTGACTTGTCAAAAATGTTCACGTCTGAATTAAGGAAATACAGGAACCCAAGTGTTTCATTTGATCGGTGTATGCGAGTTCTGTCAAAATGTTATCGCAATCTAAGCTAAAACACAATAATATATTTGTTTCATATTATGTTCATGACATGAGTCATTTGTGTGGAATCGCGTTTGAAAAATGAAATAGCTTTGTTTTATCGACATTTGATAACATCTATACTTCCCTCCCAATGTGCCAAAAGGTTGCTGTTTCACAAGCAACTTTGTTTCACCAGCATTAAGTAGGTTTGGATGTTTTTGACTGAACAGTGCAACTATGTTAAACATGGGCTTTGTCTGGTTTGTGCGATGTTGCAACAAGACATGTCTGCATATTTGCGTATACCAAATATAAATCGACATTACCAATTAATTACTTGCATACAAAAATGTTTAAATATTTTCGAAAGGCATAATAGTATAACAACACTCAATTGCACAATGTATTCATTTCGATTTTCTTTACTAATCTTGATTTGCTGATAGAAGGCAGGCATCACTTATACATGAACTCTTCTCTCTTGTCGAATGATGCACCATCATCAAGGCTCTAGGTCTAGCAAAGTTGCATCTTGTTAATTAGACATGTATACAGCTGCTATGAGTTTGTGACATGCTACACACTTAGACAGCATATGTACAGATACAAATTAAAAGTCCCCTGAATCAGTATTGAAGCAGAATATATTTTAAAATGTCTACAGCAAAAATACCCCAAAGAATGGACCCAGGGGAGTGAAATTGTTTTGACTTCTCAAATAAAACTATCACCAGCCAATGTGAATGATGAAATGTGATTAAACACCCAATGACTCAAACAAAACATTATCTGGAGCTCTGAAGAGTATGACTAAACATTGGGCTGTTACAGTCTTTGATACACAAAAGCAATCTTGGCTCAACATGCTCAAAGGCATTAGTATTGGAAACAGCTGCCTACCAGTATCCCGTGGCCAGTACCATTTCTATCAGGAAAGGGGAAATGTATTCCTTCCTGACCTTTTCCCTGGTAGAAACTTTCAGCACTTACAGTCTTGATTTACAGTTTTAAAAAGAGATTTGCGTAACAAATGCTTAATGCAAATCTCAGCTGAATTTCTTTCCAAATAGTGGGACAAACTGCTTGGTGATCATCCAAGTTTATGGGCTTTTAAATCATGCGTCTGAATGGTTGATCTCAGGAATTGGACGAATCATATTTGAGGTTACAATTGATGAATTCTGTAACAGAATGACTGCCGTCGCTGTATTTTGTTTTTGTCCTGGGCCCCATGTTTAGGTGCTTTTTTCACGTTTTGTCTCAGTGATAGATGTTTAGTTTCTTGAGAAATGCTAGTTACTTTAAAGTAAAGACAGAAGAAAATGGTAACTTGTTTGTTATCTTCACTATAGCCTTTATACATTAAGTCACTCACTGTGAACATACAGTCCTTGCCCTTCTGGGATCACTGAGCCCTAATCCTCAGTCATCTTAGCATTGTGACTTTCTTATGTCTGTATGGAGGGACTGCAGCTACAATATAACTGCTTGAACCAAACCACTAAGACTTACACAAGTTGCACTAACCTTGACTAAGGTGACTCAAAAGCCACACTTGGAAAAGAAGCTACAAACATCGTTCAGAATGAAACCTTTTAATGTTATAAATAATAATTGATCATATGTGTTGTATTAGCCTCTGGAAACTACAAACCTTTTACAACGAGAACCAATATGATATCCTAGACCAGCAGACATGTCCACTGAGTCAATGCTCAGCCTGTGTACACTGGTTGGAAACAGTTTGTTTGCTTTATAATAAACAGTAACATCAGTCCTGTCTGTTTCAGGAATAGTGGAACCTTATTGGACAATTTCGGTAGCAACAGCCAATCAGGTTTGTGTATATGTTGTGGTATTTTATTAGCGTCATGATTGACATGTGTTTAATGGATGGGTGAAGCAATGCCTTTTGTGGGTTATTATTATTATCCACATAATGATGATGTGCTAACCCTCTTGTGGGATTGCAGGTGCCCGGTTCACATAGTGATTGACGGTTCCTCATTGAAATGGTTTAGTGAAATAACATGCAATGTGGTTCAGGAAAAAATCAAGAGAAAGTAAAGGCTCAGTTTATGCATCTGAGGACTAGGTACATGTAGTCTGGAAGATAAGCTGTTACGGCTTTGTCAGGTCTGAAAGGAATTTACCCGTTATAGTTTGAAAGATTGGAAGCTGATTTGTTATTTTCTTAGTTGTTTATTGCCACACCCATCAATATTCCAGCTATAAATGATGGTAGCAATTAGAAGCTGAAGACTACTGAATCAAAATTAATCAGATGCAAATAACACCAAATTTAACATTTACAAATTACCTAATACATTTGTAAGGGGCTTTTTTTTACCTGACTGGACAGTTCTGCAAGTGTTTTTTTGGCTATGATATTGGAAGACCTGAAAAGTTGATAGCCAATTCTACTTTTTAACATGTGTCTACTTGAAAACTTTTCAGAGTTTATCATACTTTTTTTTTCATTACAATGTTTGGAGATCGTGGTGTGTGCCTTTCATCCCTAGCACTGAACTGCATGTTGTAGTTGTTGTTGTTGTTGTCTGTGGTCTGGAATGTTGTGTGGTAGCATGGTTGTCAATAATAAGTTTTTTAGTTCAGTGTTCTAACAGTGTTGGTGTTGTGTTTGGACTCATTAATCTATTACAGTTCCTACAACAAGTGGGGCGGTTGGGTAGCCTAGTGGTTAAAGCGTTCGCTTGTCACGTCGAAGACTTGGGTTCGATTCTTAACATGGGTTCAATGTGTGAATCCCATTTCTGGCGTCCCTTGCCATGATATTGCTGGAAAATTGCTAAAAGTGGCATAAACCACACTCACTCACTCATTCACTCCTACAACAAACAAACAATGGTTGAAGCCAGGACTACATCAGCAGTAGCACCCTCAATTATCCAGTGTGTATACATCAGCAGTATAACCCTCAATACATCAGCAGTAGCACCCTCAATTATCCAGTGTGTATACATGAGCAGTAGCACCCTCAATTATCCAGTGTGTATACATCAGCAGTAACACCCTCAATTATCCAGTGTGTATACATCAGCCGTAACACCCTGATTATCCAGTGTGTATGCATCAGCAGTAGCTCCCTCAATTATCCAGTGTGTATACATCAGCAGTAGCTCCCTCAATTATCCAGTGTGCATACATCAGCAGTAACACCCTCAATTATCCAGTGTGTATACATCAGCCGTAACACCCTGATTATCCAGTGTGTATACATCAGCCGTAACACCCTGAATATCCAGTGTGTATGCATCAGCAGTAGCTCCCTCAATTATCCAGTGTGTATACATCAGCAATAGCACCCTCAATTATCCAGTGTGTATACATCAGCAGTAGCACCCTCACCCTTTGGCATAAAAACATTCTCTTGGTTTTTATTACCAAAAAAATTCACCAAGTTCATATGTTTATTCTTGAACAACCGAAAGTTAAACAGCAGTGTCTGAACAAAATTAAGTATCTAAAAAATTTTGAGATATAGAAAAAAGGAAGTTTGAGAATATCAACAAATTTAAATAAAAAAATCAGTTTTGAATATAATTTTTGGATTAATCTTAAGGAATACAATTAGAAATTCAACATTCTCACAAAACTAAAGCTTCATTAAGAAATATGAAATTAAAACAGTTTAAACCTCAATATGAGTTTACTGTTCTGTATGTAATCCAATAGATCCATCAATACAACGCTAATTACACAACTAAGAAGACATGAGATGGATTCTACTTTTGTCGTAATATCAATGAGTTTTAGACACGGAAATGGGTGTGTCTGGTTGTTATGGGTTTGTTATTGCCCCAGTGCTTAATGTAATGTGCTTATTCTCCAATGGCTACCTTTTTGCAATGAGCAGGTATTAACGAAATTCAATATCTGTGCATCTGGGAATAGTCTGTCTGCTTGCTGGTCTATAAAATGATTCTCAGAATATGATTGTGCAGTTGCTTTCCTGTCTTTCTTGTTAAGTGGAGGTTCTTCGTGGTTGTATGAAAATGGAATTAGAAAAGTAAGTTGGTTTTAATATTTTCATACAAAGGTTCAACTATCATTTGAAATTCATTTATCAAGTTTGGCAAAGTTGAGTATTTTAGAATCTTTGACATTCAGGATAATACAAAGTTGAACAAAGTTGAAAAAATGTAATGACAGTGGAAATACCATGAAAATTGTTCATTTTCTTAAAGTAAGTATTGTTATATGCTTGTAAGGATATGTTTTGTTTACATCCTGTATTACTTAAACCATTATCATTTCAAAATATAAGAAAATGTTGGTAAATGGCCGAAATAAGTTATATAAATAGTTTGGTTTGGGGTGGTTGATTGTTTGTTTGCATCAGAAATGTGTTTGGGTGATGGTAAAATTATATTTTTCTGTTAACATGGTGAAAGTGCCAAGTTTCATGTGTCTGTTAGTCCTCCAGATTCCTGCTTGTCAGAATTAACTAGCGATATATTAATATGATTCACAGAATGCTTCTAATAATTTACCTTGTCCTATTTAACCAGCCCGTTAGACATGCCTGACTCCAGCGAAACCAATCGCAAGTTGAAAAACTTGACGCAAGATCTCCGTCGACATGCCAAGATGCAGCGAATTAAAGTGTCAGAAGCATGTCGGGATATAATGGCATACTGTGACGCCAACCAACAAACTGATATGCTTATATTCCCAGCAAGGGACAACCACTTCCGGAACAAAAAGACATGCAACATTCTTTGAGAAACAGTTTTTCTTCTTACTGAAATACACATATTCTGCAAGGCGAAATCTGAAAATTGACACAATGGAATTTAAAACTTCACTGTGAGAAGTGAAATCTTGTCTTGGAATACAAATTTCTCGACAGCATCAGTCATTTGTTAACCATGAAATTTGTCAATAGTTCATGTAGCATATTGTCATTTGACTGTGTTGCAGTAGCTTGTTGCAGTTTCTGAATGTGTTTCTATAAATGATAGCCTTAATCTGACCAAATTTGATACTTTATCATGTTATGTGGGTGAACATTCTATTTATATAGATGTGCTCAGAAATATGTACTTCAAATTGTATATGCAGGTTAGATAGTGATGTGAATCTCATTGAAATTTTGGTACTGATATCACCCAAGAAAGTATGGAAATATGTCTGCGCCATAGGAATTCAGTAAAGTCATGAGATAGTTTGTACATTGCAAATTGTGATTTTGTTGATCATTATTTTAGTTTTGTTTTTCACTTCATGCTTTCTGCTTTTTTTATTCCTGATTTTGCATGACATATTCTGTATTGTGACCTAGATGACCTTTGTTTCATGCATATTTGTCCTGACAAAAATGCTCAAAAGTCACATTTAGACTTTGAAGTCAAAAGAGGGTGGAAACCCTTCTAAACGATCTTGAAACTTGGTGAAACACATTTGAGCATATTTGTGAGCAAATTTGAAATGATTCAAGTAATTTGTGTTAGCTATTTTCTAGCAGTGCAAAGTATTTATTTGCAACTTATGAACTATTTCATATATTTCAAGGAAGATGCTTGAATAATATCAGCATTTTACTTTTAACAGACATCAAAATTTGAACTTTCTTAGTAATTCCAAGAATTGCTGACACAATGATCTTGTATATTTCAAAAGAAGCATGCATTTACGGAAGGCCTCAGTATGTTGTGTGTAGTGTTTTCAGTTGATACTGTGAACCTATAGTGAATGGCTGTTCTAACACTCTGCATGTCTACAGTCAGTAGGAATCTGTGTACATTTGTCCTGACTGCAATAAAGAATTTGTCTCTATTTTAATTCTGCATCTGTGTTTTCTTTGCATGCGTAGAGATTTTTGTTGATGCAGTTAATTTTTCGTTGCAACTGTATGCACACAATACTGATACAGTCTGACTTCAGCCACTGGTCCGTAGCCCAAGTCTAGTAAGACTTCTTTTGGTCAAGTAAGTTTTGCAAATAAAAGCCATACATTTTTATGTACTGAAAATGCTGTCATAAGGCAGACTAGTAGACTCCAAAGGTTTTGGCACAGACTGCTGATGTATCCAATCCCTGACGCCCTGAGGAGTAAGCGGTATGTAGAGAGAAGTCAAATTTCAGGAAAGATTATCCTTCCTGGGGTGGAAAAAGTTATGCATCAATACAAACACTATCTACATAATAGGAAGCAGTTGTCTGAACATGAAGTAGTTCTGATACCGCATTTGGTGTAATAGGGGCTTAGTAAATTGACAAAGGCTTCGCAATCAAAGCTATACACAAGTTAAATGTTCTTTTTCAGACTGCAAACAGTAAGTTACTACACAATTAAACACCTTGTCTGCACTGCTGGTTTCTGTAAAACATATTCTGTAATATACACAGGAAACTGGACTTACACGTAATAAGATGAATACAGTATGCAACAGCTTTTGCTGGCATTTAAAACAATTGGCTAGCCTTGTGGACTAACTCACAGCTATTCAATATGCTAAGTTGCATCCCTAAATCCTGTCAGGGTCTGCTTGTCATGTTCAAGGAACAGTGGTGTAGCCTTGTGGTTGAAAGCGTTAGCTTGTCACTCCGAAGGCATCGGTTTGATACCCATCATGGGTACAATGTGTGAAGCCCATTCCTGGTGTCCCCTGCCGTGAAATTGCAGGAATATTGCTAAAAGCAACATAAAACCATACTCCTCATCGAAACCAAGATGCGAGCTGATTGTGAACCTTGGTTGCAAGTGCTGCAACTTGAGCCTTAAGGTGACTTGTAATACAACTCATACTTTTCAAAGGTGTGTCAAACTAGACCTGTCAGATGATGTTTTTATGGTTACATTAATAATTCTAAGGGAAATAACTTTGGGATGAGGAAACTTGGGGTGTTATATGGGGTAGATAAATGATAGTACTTTAACAAAACTAAGATCTTATCCACCGATGTAAACTAATTATTTGGTAATTTTTAATTGTTTATGAAATGTTAGGGGATGATATCATCCTTGTACATAGAAAGAACATGACTGCATTGGTCACTTTGGCACACAGTTGTTTGAAGTTGAGTGACTCAACCAAGACACATGAAATAAGGCTGGGGTTTTAGATGGAGGCAAAGCAAACGACCTTTGGATGTTCAGCATTTTATGATAGTGTTAAAATTCAAATTGTGAAAAATCTTTTGAGAAAATGGCAAACTGCAGGGTAGCAAACTGAAACAATTATATTGGACAAGGCCCAGTGAGTTTCAGATTTGGAAACAATTGAAAATTGAAAACTAACGACCACGTTATGCTGCCACACTAGGCTTACTTGCTGGCCAAAAAACTCACTACGTATTACGCTGAGCTCCCTTTGAAGGAATATGGTGAGTGACAGTGTATTGGTTGTATATTAATGATTTTCAAATAGGTAAAGACACAACAGCAGCACACTGTCACCAATGGCTGATCAGCCAGTGGGTGTTCATGTAAACAGAAACACACACACACATTCACTTAAAATATGACCTGAACCTCAGCAATACTAATCCCCCAAATACCTTCATTTTATTGAAGCGCTTCTGTATATCCTTGTCTGATTATAAAGACACACACACACATGGGATCTAATATGAGACGTGGACATCGCGATAAATTGTAGAAACCACTGAAATGAGGAGATTCTAAACTGTTCAAGTTCTGTACTTCAGAGGAAACGGACCGAGTATGTGTTCAGGCGATCTTGAATATGATATCCAAGCCCTGTTGGTTGGGCCAAACATTGCTCAGTGTTACATGGATAGAGTTGCCATGGTTATGCCCCTATTATCCTTCTGTGTTGTTAAATACAGCAACACTGTTGTACATGAACATCCTGGGCTTCATCACCAAAGTCCCACAACAACAACACAGAGGTGTCTTGACTGACAGACCTCCAAGAATGGATACAATTCATTTTCTCATGACTTTGATATACCATATTTTCTTGAGTAAAGTGTGCACCCCCTCTAGGGGATTCAGAATTTTTCTAGAAACTTTTTCTAGTACTAATATTGTATAAGGGAAAAAATGACAACATACCCCTTCACTGGCGAATTCAGGTAAATGAACAGTAGATAACAAACTTGGTCAATACAAATTTCAAATTTGAGATAAAACCTCATTAGACATGATAATTTACCATATTTCCAAATTGGAATTGTTTTATAAATTATATGCAGAGATTAGGTTACCATGTGTACCGTGTACATTCAAGTCTTGATTTGTAAGAATTGTAATATGAACATAGTTTCCTGTCAAAGTAGATGTGTTGGCCAATACACCTACAGTTAAAACTAAAAAAAACATGGCAACAAGACAAGGCTTCTAAGAAATATATTTTGACTTCATTTATTCTTTTCCCTTTTACCTTTAACTCTGTATTACCTGCACATTCTTTGTCATGATCGGATGTAGGTATTATGTGTAGGATAAAAAACAGAGTTTTTATGAGGGTAACATTAAACCTGAACAAAAAGGAAATTTAAAACAACATTTATCAAATTTTTATGTTTCAAACATACCTTCCATGGACCTGAGGAAACATGTAAAATTGCTGGCATTCATGTACTTGAAAAAGATCTCTGTAGTCTTGTGGTACACTCACAGGGCTACAGATAGGAAGGTTGCACGTTATATCCATGGAAATATGAACAAAACATTGTCACTTGATTTTACATCTTTCCACACATTTCATTACATTGCGTTCAGGTAGTTAGTTATTCTAGCATGAGACATGCACATGTTACCATATCAACATATATTGTATTAATAAAATCCCCAGGATAGCATATGCACTAACAGGTATACTATTCTAAATCCCTGGGGTATTTTAAATTGATAAGAGTGGGGAGATTACAAAAACATCCATGTTTATGAGATTTAACCAATAGGAGAACAGTAGGATGACATCACTGAAGGTTCATCAGTCTCAATAACACTGGTCTCTCTCATATTCTCACAGATCCCAACATGTTTGAGATATCAACTTTTAGGTGTGCTGATGGTCAAACAGGAGTATTTTTAGAAAGTGTAGATTAGACATAAAGATGTATTAAATCTTCCTTTTTTAAATCAAAGGTCTTGTGTGGTCAACATGGTCAAGTTGAACCCTTTTCTTTCTTGTCTCAATGTTTCCCATTGTTGATGACCGCCTCTGTGGTCTAGTATTAGAGTACCTGCCCTGAGAACAGAAGGATGGGGGTTCAATCCCTGGCCGCATCATTCAGAAAGACGTTAAACGATGTTACTTGTTGTTACCCTGCCTTGTGCTCGTCGGCTCGGAGTCAGTATACTGTATCTGAGTGGGGTATTCATGTTAAATGGTATGGTATCTCAGCAGACATGCATGCATGCATGCCATATAAATGCAGTAATCTTGAACGCGACGTTCAACCTCCTTTCAGCTCACCTATTGTTGAGAGTTAAATATATGACATTGCTTGTAACAAACCTAATTATTGACCTCAACATGGATTATGCATTATGCCAAGTTGGATGTGAAAATTGATGCTGAGAATTGCACTTGTTAAAGACAAAGTCTATTTTCTGTCATAAATTAATGTGAAATCAACCACAGATGAGGGTAGTTCGGGGAGGGATTGTGAGTTAAGTGTTTGTTTTATAATTCATTCCTATGGTTGTTTATTCTATCCACTTTAAACTAAAGTGAACATACTGGTCAAATATACAAATCCCACAAACCTGCTG